TAAGTTGTCATACAAAAAAGACCTGCCAAAAGACAGTATATGAATTTGATCAACTTTATCTTTTAAACCACAATCTTTAATCCTTTGGCTCCTACTGCTTGTTATTTTCTACTAGAAATCAACAACAAATGGACGGACATAGAGACATCTTTTCAAGGTCGTTAGGCTTTTCAATCTGTGAACTCATATGCTTTTGAATATTTTATATTGCTGATAACATAATGTTAACAGGTAAAAAGATAAAAGATTAAAAAATTTCTCCCAGAGTAAAAAGTACAGAGAAACTTGCTATAGGTGAGACAACACTACAAGTGGGTAAAAGATAGGCTATCATTGAAAGGACAACTGGTCATTACATGGGATTAAAAATAATTCTTGTTAGCTTTTAGCTTCTCAGAGCTGTCCAGAAACGACAATAATCCTCCCAATGTACATGGCATGTTGACTCTTATAATTTCATTCTCACTTCAGTTCTGGTAAGGTGTGGAGCACAAAAAACAGTCCCCACTCCTTAACCTTAGCACATAGTAAGGCTCCTTTATAACATCCACCACAATTGAAGATTTATTTGGGGTTCATTACTGACAAAGCATATGGAAAAAGTGGAGCATAAAAAGGATAATCACATGTGTTTTTCCCCCCACCCAAGAAGAATTTCTTTTCTTTTTTTTTTTTTTTAAGAGACGGGGTCTCACTCCGACACCCAGGCTGGAGTGCAGTGGCGCGATCACGGTTCACTGCAGCCTCGAACTCCTGGGCTTAAGCGATCCTCCTGCCTCAGTCTCCTGGGTAGCTGGAACCACAGGTGCCCGGGAATTCTTAACATTTCTTAACGTCCAGTCCTTCCGCTCTGTGATAATTACATATACACATCCTTTAAAAATTAGGGTCATACTGGATGTGTAGGTTGCTTAATAATGTTTCGAGAAAGACATAGTTGCGCGTAGTTCTTTATCGATGTGTGCTCCCTCTCAGAAAGCGCGGGAACCGGAGCCGCAACCTGGAAGGGCCGGCAACCGCAGCAGCTTTGCGTAAGATAAACGATATCGTGGTCCCGAAAGGGAACACGCCTAGGACACAGGTTCAACGGTTCATGTAGACCTCCCAGCAACCCGCAGCGCCACACTGCGCGGGCGCACTCTCCAGGGCTGGAGGAACCCCGCCGGCGAGGCTACCACGCTTGCGTCAGCCATGAAAAGCGGAAGCGGAAGACTGGACGCCTCGCTGGGCACCTCAGCAACCAGTAGCCATGCGCGGCTTGGAGAAGCCAGGGCCTCGGCCTACAGCGAACTTGTGCGGCTGCGTGAAGCCGGCTCTGGAGACAGGTAACTTCCAAGAGACTGGCGGTGCCGTACTCTAGAGAGGCTTAGCTCCAGGCAGCTCACTTCATTGCTGAGAGGGGCGTGAAATGCAAAATCTAGAACTGACATGCGTCATTCTCATACTTACGGCGAAGGCATAGGTCACGTGCTGCTGCGATCACGTGATGTGACTGGGCGCGCTGGATGACGTCATCCGGCTTGTTCCGCTTTGGTACAGCATTTATCTGCCTAGTCTTGGCTCAGCCGGTTGAAGCGTAGCAGTCTTTCCCTTAGGGGGTTCTCCGTGCCATAGGGAATGGGAAGTGGTGTTAGGCGCGTTAGAAATTAGTAAATGCCATAGAAGAGAGGCATCCTGCCCTGTAAGAATGAGGAGAGAGAAGGGGGAAAGTTTGGCGGGGGAGAAAATAGTTTTAAATTGGGCCTAGAATTTGTTTCTCTTTACTCACACGTCTTCGTGGAGGAATATATTAGCTTTAGAAACTAGAAAGCAGTGTCAGAAAATTAAAATAGCCTGCCAGAGAAAGCCATTGTCAATATCTTGGTGTCTACCTTCCATTCTTGTTTCTTTGCATGCACACTTGGAAAGTGAGGTACTATGCGACCCCACTGTTTAGTAACTCTAAAAGAATTTTAAAAAGATCTTAACGGGGCAATTCATGTTAATTTTAACGCTTTGTTTTATTATTATTAATTTTTATAGAGGCAAGCTATTTTATTATTAATTTTTGTAGAGGCAAGCTCTCACCATGTTGCCCAGGCTGGTCTCAAACTCTTGGGCTTAAGCAGTCCCCCTGCCTCAGCCTCCCTAAGTTTTGGAATTACAGGCATGAGCCACTGCAACTGGCCTAACGCTTTGTTTTAGAGATGTGCTCTGATTTATGTAACCAGCTTCTTGTTACTGAGCATTTAGGTTATTGCCAGTTGGCATTATTCTAAAAGAAAGCTCTTTAAGCCGAAATCTTTGTGTACATTCTAAAGTTTGAACTTTGTTAAATTTCCAGGAAGTGCTATTACCTGGTGAAATGTGCTCAAAAAAAAAAAAAATTGTTGTACGCTGCCAGATTACAAGTCTAATATTTTGACAGGAAGGAAAACGCAGAAGCCAGGCTCAGAAGTCCACAGTATAGGTTTAGGGAGCTAGAAAATCTAAAGATTTGAATAGAACAGGGAGGTGGGAACCTTGATGACCAGGCTAAGAAATTCAACGTCTGGTAACATGGAACATGTAGAGTTTGAAGAGTTAGCGTCACACAAGAAACTCTAGGAGTATTTTGAGAAGAGAAAGAACTTGCAGTGGGGAGAGAAAGCATAACAAGGGCAACTTAATAGTCCAGGCAGAAATTTTTAAAGCAAGACGTGTAGACAAGCCTTGTATACAAAACCCCTTACATTGATTACTTGCTGTCTTTTTACTTATTACCGTTAACACAGTTGTAATGTTTAGAAGAGGAAAAAGCCTGAGCAGGGACTTTGAAAAGCACTTCTTGATGGGTGCCTTCCTTTTACTGGATGCTTACATATTTTATTAGTACTCTTACAACTTTCCAAAGTAGATATTATTATCCTTGTTTTAGAGATGAGAAAACGGATTCAGAGAGATAAGCTGGCTTTGCCGATGGTCACGCAGCTAGTGTAGTGGCCCTGTGTTGTTTTTATCCTTTCTCTATTCTGAAACTGGTCCTAATTCTCCCTTGCTCCTTTGAGGAACCACTTCTCCCCATTTCCATGAGGTTCTTGTGCTCGTATTTGGCATACCTGTGCTTGTCTTCATCCCTGCAAAGGCACCTAGCTAGAATGGTTGATTTACTTGTCCTCTGTCAGTGTCCTGGAAACCCTTGAGGATGAGAACCGGTTCTTATTTGTACCCCAGGCCCTTAGCACAGTGCTTACCAAATGATAGGTGTTTACTGTTCCTTTGGTTTTTGTTGTTGTTTTGAGATAGTCAAGGGGAAGAAGACCAGAATTCCCCCGGGCAAATGGTCTTAGTTCTCTGCTTCAAATAGCATTTATGTTTCATACCATTATCCCCAGGAGGGCACAGAGAATATATAAATATGTCCCAGAAGAGTTCACACATACTAAGATATGGATATTTGATATTTTGAAAGTGGTCCCAAACATTTTAGAGTAGCAGAGTTCGAGGAACTCTTACAAAGTAGCTCTTGAGTATACTTTGAGTTCGTTGCTAATGCAGTTCATTGTCTTGCTTATGTACTTAAGGAGATGCACAAAGAGGATAGAAATAAATCTAATTGGCAGCCACTTATATTTGTCATATATGTGTAATCTGTGAAAAACAGGCATAGACTGATTCAGTGGAATGATAAATCAGCTATAATATAAATTCCTAGGTCCCAAATCAAAGAGTCAAGGGCGTCTTTGATCATGTTACTGCTGACAGGACATTTCCCATGACATTGAAGCATGGCGTGAGATTCTCCCCAACCATTAATTCCACTGTAGTAAGAGTTCTTGGTTTGTATCTTTTCTCTAAACTTAGCACAATGTCTGGCAATTGTAGACACTTGGAAAATAGTATTTCTTTTTTCTCTTTTCTTATACTGCTCTTTGTGGAGCAGGGCAAACTCATAGGCAGTGTACCCAGAGTACCAGCCAGAAAATGTTTCTTGAACAAGTGAAAACAAGACAGGGATTCTGTGGTTAGGTTGGGAGTCTTTTTTGGATATTTATCTTCCAGTCATATAGAAGATACACTAGGTCATTTGGCTTCAGTTTTGTCTTTTTTTTTTTTTTTTTTTTTT